GGTAATGAAGCCTGACGTGGCTCGGAGCTGCAGATGAGAAACTGTAGAGGAAGCCCAGAGGGAACAGCAAATCAGTGCCGTGCTCCTCCAGCACTTCACTGCTGGGAAAGGTGCATTGTCCAAGTGGAGCAGGGCTTTGGGAACATCTGCTGAGCACATGCAGTCAGGGCAGCTCTGGCAAGGGGGGCTGTGCAGCTCCAGGAGTGCAGTGAGTTCCCTGGGAAGCACTGGAGGCAAAGCTCAGCTCTGCACCTCCCACCCTCCACAGCTGCTGGATGGGGACTGTGCAGGCCAGGAGAGGAGGTAAGAAAGTGAGGATGTTCACAGCAGAGTCTGTGGGGTTTTGCTGGAGAGATGGCATCGCTGCTCAACCTGGAACAGACAAGGAATCACATCATGCTTCCCACTGAGGGGCTTGGGAGCTGCCCAGCTTCCCCAGCCCAGACTCCACACAGGCCAGCACTGGTCACGCCTAAATACAGGGAGGAGACACAATCCATTGGAAAAAAAGGTTTGTGTACAAACAGGATTCACCACAGGCTGTGCTGGGAATGCTGTAAGATTGATGGGCTGTATAAACACAGGGTGAAATAATCTGGATTTCTCACTTTGAATCTATTCCATGGGATCACTTAAAATTCTTACAGTGCTTCAGCTTGAATTCCTAGAGTAATGAGAATTTAGGAGGGAAAGTGGTTTTTACTTCACTTTAAGGGGCTCGGATGCTAACCTAACAAGGCAGTGACAGATTTCAAAGACTTGGCTGAAAAGGGCCTAAGTCTCATTTAACACATCTGCAGCATCACCTGGACCAGGTCAGAGTCCAGAGTCCATATCCACCATCCCCTTCATGGGGTTGGGCCCAGGCCAGGTGAGTGAAACCACTCTTAAAACAAGTATTTTCAAACTACACAAAAATACAAGATTTTCTCTGTATGCCTTCTTGTAGATGAACTTGTTTAGCTCCAGAACTTTGCTCTATCCTCACAATTTTGGTGACTCGCTTCTTGTTCCCTACCCTGGTGATTAAGACCATGAGCAAGGGAAGATCTGAAATGCCAAGGGAAGGGGCAGGAGTCTGCACTGCCATCAAGGAGCCAGGGGCTCATGTGGGAATAAAAAAGGGGGAAAAATACCCTGGGTTCAAACAACTGT